CAGAACGGAGGGAACCTAAAACAACACACTGTGTTTTGTTCATTATTTTGTTCTTACAAAACTCTCCCAGTGACTTTCCACACTTTTTATATTTAGCTAAACAAAATGTCACAATCCAAGTTTGCCATGTAGTTTTGCATTTGTGAACATGCGACACACTGACCATAAAGACCATAGATATTGATCTGCTGATGATTTACAGACATTTGTCCTCCATTCTACAAAGACTGAGTTGTGCTGATTATACCAGTGTGTGTGTGTGTGTATGATGTGTTTATCAATTTGTTTGTGTATATTTTTAATTGTTGTTGCGTTGCAAAATTACAATATTTTTTTTGCAAAACTATTAGTACTGTACATTAAATCATGTATGTTCGGTTGCATATATATATTTTTGTGAGTCACGTCTGAATTGTAAACCTGTTTATTGCAATAAAGAAGAAAGTTAAACAAAATAAATAAATAAATAATTGATGCAGGTTCACTCAAATGAGAATAGCAGGTTACATGTGTGCTGAGGGAACAATATTTAATTCCAAGTTGATATACTCAACACAAATGTAGACTGCCTCCACTAAAGCAGAAATCTGAATGAAACTCACTCAGAACTTTACGCTACTAACTACTGCTGTAATACACTTCTTTTCTTTTTTTTTTACTTTCAAAGTCATCTTTACTACAAGAAGAGGTTTACAATTCAGACATGACTCATAGAAATATACATATGCAACAGTAAACAAACATACAAAACACAAACAAAGAGAAACAAAGCCTTGCCAGGGGAAGCCCACATGTTATTAAAAAGAGAAAGATGACCATATGTTGACAGTTTTAACCGCCTTTTTGTTGTTGGAGCCAGAAATCAAATTAATATAATGTACAACTTCATGGAGAAAAGGTACAAAATTAGGTCTTTTACCGTTGAATTTACATTTATGAATGTGGAATTTTGCCAACAGAATTAATACATTTATAATGAAGTACATATTTTCTTTCCTTTGACTTCTATAAAAGCAAAATACCACATTCTCCCACAATAAGGCAAAGTCTTTATAAATATGGTCAATGACGAATCTGCTGAGGTTTTGCCAAAATGTTCTGGTGTGTAAGCAATACCAAGAGTGCAAAACAGTTTCTGGGTGGTCTTCACAAAAAGAACAGTTTGTATTGATGTTGTTATAGTTCTTCATGACCGGGTGACTCGACATACATAACGGACATCCATAGGCTTGTCTTTAACTCCAAGAGTGTCGCTTTATTACACACACTTGTAGCCTGCATTACACGCACTCCAGTAGACCGGGAACTAGACACATCACAACACAGTATCACTCCGCCTACACGTCACTAACATCATTGTGACAGTATAAGTGCACGGCACTATATACTACAGATGTCTCTTAAATTTAACCATGTAATGATTAGCAGTGTAATATCTGTGAATTATTCTGAACCACACTTCTTTCACCTTGTTTACTCTCAGGTATCTGTGAGGAATCATCCAAACTTTTGTCCAGTCAATGTCGTTTACAAATCGGTTCCAATAAAACATCACATTTGGAATAGATACAATTTTTTTTCTGAAACAAGGCACGAATGTTCTTATTATTTCGAGGGAGTTTAGAAAAACAGATTTTTCCAACAGGTGATTCAGCCACAGAGGGGAGGGAGACAGAAGTGGGTGGAGGTCTGCCAGTATTTCTAAAAAGCATTATTGAGCCTGATGGAATGGCGTGCAAATTCTCGTGGCATAACTGGAATATTATATGTTGATAGAAACTCTCTATAAGAGAAAAGTCACCCCTCTCCGTTAAATAGCTGGCCCACCAGCAGAATCTGATTCTGTACCCAACTCTCAAAAAGAGTGACTTGTTTTTGGATGAAATATCTCTGTTATTCCAAATTAGATACCTGTGAGGTGAGAAATTGTGCTTATAAATGAGAGACCATGCTAAAAGGACCTGCTTATGGAAAGTGGACAGTTTTACAAGGAGTTTGTCCACATTGTTATTACAGTTCAAAATAAAGCTCAGACCACCAAAGCGAGACAATATATAGTGGGGAGTAAAATTCCAAATCGAGACAGGGTTTTTTAGAAAATGCTTAGCCCGATTTATCTTAAAAGTATTGTTTAGTGTATTAAAGTCCGAAAGGTTGAGCCCACCAGATTCACAATTATTCATAACAACAGAAAGATTGTGGTATTGTCAGCAAGCTGACTGATGATGATATTCCTACCCGCAATAGAAATTCCTTGTATACAACAACATGAGTTGTGAGAATTTGTGTACAGAGTAAAAACAGATAAGGTGAAATCGGGCATCCCTGATGAATGACCCGTTTCAGATTAAATCTAGGGGAAGTTCCATTTTTCAGTTTAATAGAGCTATTCCCATTAACATATAAAGTTTTAATTGCTTTGCAGAAAAAATCCCCCAAAACCAATTTTTTCTAAAGACAGAAAAATAAATTGGTGTTCTATTGTATCAAAGGCCTTATAGAAATCTAAGAAGAGGATGAAGCCATCTTCAGATATCAGGTCAGAGTAGTCAAGAATATCTAATATTATTGGAGATGTGCCTATTCCTCATAAAGCCTGACTGTGTCTCATCTATAATTGTCTCAAGAGTTACTTTAATTCTCCTGGCAAATATTAACGCCATCATTTTATAATCATTCTTTAGGAGTAGGGTAACTAATAAATAAAAGCCAAATATTCAGACGGACAAGCAAACTGCTCACATGTGGTTTGGATCACCATAGCAACACACAGGAAGAGTGACGGCGGATTCTGCTCAGAAAGACCATAGATATTGATCTGCTGATTGGTAGCCAGATAGAGCGATCGGTTCCTGTACGCAGTTAAACAGTGGGCGGGACTGAAAGGGTTACGCAAGAGAGAAAAATTTTAAATTTATACCCTAAAATCAGTTTAAATCAGTTTAAATCAGTTTAAATCAGTGGTGCTGCCATCAGAGAGAAAGTTGATGATGAGGATGAGGGGCGGAGCAGTCAGAGGACGTCAGAGGGAAAACCAGAAAACATTTTCTCCATAAAATATGATCCAGTTTCACCAAAATCAGTCACATAGTTGGTGGTGTGTGCCTTAGTGCCGTAAAGCGTTACACACTCGTCCCGACCCGCAGACCAAAGTTCCACAGTGCAAGAACAGGAGTACAGAGGAAGCATCACCCTGTTACAGTCAGTGTAACATCAGCATGATTCTGAAGCTGATTGTGAGGAGGAAAAGTTACAGAATGGGCTTTAAGTCAATAATAATAATAATAATAATAATAATGACGCTGTATTATTATCAGGCACTTGTGTTAAAGACTCTAACTGTGTCTGTTTTATAACTACTGTGACAGAGTCAGTCAGATATACTCCAGTAAAGCTCCACCTCTTCCTGTACGCAGACAGACACTGAGGACAGCACATGTGAGACATCAGAGCAGACAGCAGACAGACGGGCAGAGAGACGCTCTACCTGGACATGGATCACCTGTTGGTGCTGTTGCTGTGGAGCTCAGGTAGGACTCTGCTTTAAAGATGGTGAAATATTTGTGTTGGATGTTGGAGTAACATACGAAGGCTTCATTAGAAAAACAGATATCTCCATTTTGATTCTTGTGAGTGCAATCCAGGGATTATCAATCAAACTGCTGTTGGTTGATTCATTTCAAGAATGGCTTTAATCTGTTGTTGCAAATGAACTCTTCACACACGCACACACAGACACACACACACACACAGACACACACACACACACACACACACACACACATCAATGCAAAGTAAGACAAAAAGGAAAACACTGTAAGATCGTACACAGTAAAGTTTTAATCCTTCACATTTTCATCAAATCAAAGACAGGTTTTATTTCTATTTTTAGTCAGTTATTATTTTTTCTGCAACATCCAATCAATGTGTTTATATTCAGTCATTATCTCTCTGTGCAGTACTTTTCACTGTTCGGGGCCGAGTCCTCCACTGACTCAGACTCATGACAGGATGACAGGAATCGATCCATCATGTAATCAGATTCACAGTTTCCTGTTCACTCTGCTGCATTTAGTTACCGCTAACTGCTAATGCTAACACATTTCCTGCTGCTGCTCCTTCACAATAAAACACTTCAACTGGACAGAGAAAAGGGTGCTTTTATTGTGAAGCAGTCACAGGAAGCACTATATTTGTCATTGACATTTTAAATACAGGGCTTTTACTAGTAACAGAGTATTTGTACACTGTGGTATTAGTACTTTTACTGCAGTAAAAGATGTGAGTACTTCTTCCATCACTGCTCAACAGGAGAAAACTGATAAAGTGCAACAACTTAATGTTTCCTCAGAGTCACTTTTCCTCAGGTTTTCCTCTAATCGAAGCTTTCTGACTCTGCAGGGGTCAAAGGTCAACTTCACTAAATCATCATAACTAATAAATAAAAGCCAAATATTCAGACGGACAAGCAAACTGCTCACATGTGGTTTGGATCACCATAGCAACACACAGGAAGAGTGACGGCTCATTCTGCTCAGAAAGACCATAGATATTGATCTGCTGATTGGCAGCCAGATAGAGCGATCGGTTCCTGTACGCAGTTAAACAGTGGGCGGGACTGAAAGGGTTACGCAAGAGGGAAAAATGTTAAATTTATACCCTCAATGGGCAATGTATGTCGGGAGATACAGTCTGTAAACTGGAAAATAAAGGTCATAATTATATAATTTCAGCCTACATACATTAGAAAATAGCAATTAATTCTAAGTTCAAAACATTTATAGAGGATTGTCCATTTAAGAGTTAACTGCAGACCACACACTGTCAACATCACCTTTAATGGACTAAAACTTTATTTAACAAAGAGAACCATCAGGAAACACACACAGTTTAATTCAGTTTAAATCAGTATAAATAGTTTAAAACAGTTTAAATCAGTTTAAACTTTAAAACTCTAACTGTGTCTGTTTTATAACTACTGTGACAGAGTCAGTCAGATATACTCCAGTAAAGCTCCACCTCTTCCTGTACGCAGACAGACACTGAGGACAGCACATGTGAGACATCAGAGCAGACAGCAGACAGACGGGCAGAGAGACGCTCTACCTGGACATGGATCACCTGTTGGTGCTGTTGCTGTTGCTGTGGAGCTCAGGTAGGACTCTGCTTTAAAGATGGTGAAATATTTGTGTGTCTCTCTCTCTCTCTCTCTCTCTCACACACACACACACACACACACACACACACACACACACACAAAAAACATTAATGTATGAAAGGAAGAAAAAAAGGAAAACAGTGTAAAATTGTACACAGTAAAGTTTGAATCCTTCAGATTTTCATCAAATCAAACCCAGTTTTTAATGAACTTTTTAGTCAATGATTGTTTTTTAGTAATTATCTCTCTGCAATAATTCAGTGGTGTCAGAAGGTGTGTGTAGCTGTGTGTGCGTACTGTCACTGGGAAGTTGTTTCTGAGATATTGACGTTTGTTTTGTTTTTGTTTGTGCGTCTGTGGGGTCAAAGGTCAACTTCACTAAATCATCAGAACTAATAAATATCAGGTAATTAGTGAACACATGTCACATGTCCTGACGCTGACAGCATTAATGTGATAGTAAGAGCTCAGCGTGCTAACGGAACCACAGTCCTGTAATCTGTAATCTGTCAGCAGATTCTGATCAAATGAACATTTATCAGAGGGACAGTGTTTCACAGAAATGCACTTCAGAGAGTTTAACTGCAGGATGTCAACATCACCTTTAATGGACCCATACAAAGAAAGACAACTACTGTGTTGGTGCAATTCATTAAAGTTTGCCTATCAAAAGTGTAAACGATCGATCAACTGTCCTCTTTTCAAAATGCTGCTTCATACTGATGAGTATTTTCTGGTTTTCTCCTCAGCACTGCAGACTGAAGGAACACCCAACTCAACAGGTAAATAGAGAAATAAAAGAGAAGTAAAGAATCGTCTTTGTGTGGAGAGCAAAGATTGTGGAGTACCTGAGCAGAAGGAACAGAATAGATGAATCTGCAGATGATGATGTTGTTTTATTGTTTGAAAGTGTTTAAAAATGGATACCAAGTGTTCCAGTGTATTCAGTGTCAGTGTATTGGGAGCTGTTGGACTCACCTGCTCAGGTAGAAGAGGAGCTGCAGTTCTGATTGGTTCATTTCTGTTCTGATGAAACTCACTTTATTCTTTTACTGATGACTCTCTTGTTTCTGTTCAGAGTCTGAGGAGGTCAGGTTGGTGGGAGGAGACAGTCGCTGTGCAGGAACACTGGAGCTGAAACATAATGGAGACTGGAAACCAGTGTGGGACTTCGGCTGGACCCTGAAGGAAGCAAATGTTGTCTGTAGAAATCTGGATTGTGGTTCTGCTGTTTCTGTAGGAGAGAGAGAGGAGTCTTCAGACAGACCTGTGTGGGTGATCACCTCTAACTGTGTTCAGTCTGGATCTTCTCTGAGGGACTGTGCAAGATCAGTTTCCTCTTCCTCCATCCTGAATCACACCTGTTCAGGTAAGCCCATCAATGACATCATCAATGACATATTTAATGACAGTAATGATCCCAGCACCATTGGTAAATACCCACACTGAAACAGCAGCTGCACTTTCCTTAAAAACACTAGGGGTGTCCTGCAGGTGTCGCTGTTGAAGCATTTTAATCACAATTTGAATGATGGATTTTCTCCAAAGCAGAGAGAAACCTTAATTCATGAATGATAATTGTTTGTTTGGTAATTATTTATTTCAACCAGTTACTCTTTTTATAGTTTTATTTCCCTCTTGCCTCTCAACAATAGAGGAACAACCTCCCCTGCCTCTACGGACCAGCATCCTCTAGTGCACATGTGTGTGTTTAAGGCCAATGTGTGTAATGTTAAAATAACATTATATTATGTTGTTTGACATCTTTTTATTTGTGTCTGGTGTCTTTTCTCTCTCTATTTTATGTTCTATTATCTGTCCAGACTCTGTGAGGCTGGTGGATGGGACTAGTCTGTGCTCAGGCAGACTGGAGGTGAAGTCTGACCAGTCTAACCAGTGGTGGTCCTCAGTGTGTGAAGATGACTTTGACCAGCAGGATGCAGAGGTGGTCTGTAGGGAGCTCGGCTGTGGGGCTCCTTCAGTCCTCCAGGGGGCGCTCTATGGAGAAGTGGAGGCTCCAATGTGGACCAAAGAGTTCCAGTGTGGAGGCCATGAGTCTGCTCTCCTGGACTGTAGAAGCTCAGGCTCAGCTAGAAACACCTGCTCACCTGGAAAAGCTGTTGGACTCACCTGCTCAGGTAGAAGAGGAGCTGCAGCTCTGATTGGTTCATTTCTGTTCTGATGAAACTCACTTTATTCTTTTACTGATGACTCTCTTGTTTCTGTTCAGAGTCTGTCAGGTTGGTGGGAGGAGGCAGTCGCTGTGCAGGAACACTGGAGCTGAAACAGGGAGACTGGAGACCAGTGGGAGGCTTAGATCTGGCATCAGAGGGGGGCCGAGACTGGACCCTGAAGGAAGCAAATGTTGTCTGTAGAAATCTGGACTGTGGTTCTGCTGTTTCTGTAGGAGAGAGAAAGGAGTCTTCATACAGACCTGTGTGGTTGATCTACTCTGATTGTGTTCAGTCTGGATCTTCTCTGAGGGAGTGTGCAAGATCAGAATCCTCTTCCTCCATCCTGAAACTCACCTGTTCAGGTAAGCCCATCAGTGACATCATCAATGACATAATTAATGACAGCAATGTACCCATGCTGACACACACACACACACACACACACACACACACACACACACACACAACACACACCTGTAGTGATCCCAGTTTACCTCCTGGGCTCTGCCGAGGTCTCTTGAGCAAGGCACTGAACCCCTAACTGCTTGGAGCAGCGATTGTGTGGCAGCCTCATCACTCTGACATCTGTCCACTAATGCATGTGTCCAGGTCCTGTGTGTGCATCAGTGGCTGCTCACTCAAACATTGTGGAGGACAGGAGGAAAACCAACCCACAGCATCGTGTTATTTTACACTAGTTGGCAGATTATCTCTACTTTCTTCTGTTCAATAACAATGAAACAGTAAATCAATGGCTTCCAAGAGTTCTTAAAAACAACATCATTGTATTCACTGCTGTTGTTTCCAGATGAACCCTACAGGCCTAATGAAGCTCAGTGTAAGTTCAATCAGGAAGACCTTCTCATTATGCCTCATTCATTCACAATTCTCTCCCTCTCTTTTCTAATCAGCCATGGCCGTTTACTCTTTCAGTTAATCCAATCAGATTTAGCCACAGTCTCCTCCAGCCAATCATGTTGCTGCTGTTAAACTTTAAATCTGGTCTTTTCTCTGCTGCTTTCAGCTGTCATTTCTGTGCAAATGTGATTTGGATTCTTCAGCTCAATTCATATTCAATGTTAAGATAACGACGGAGAGAGGCTGATCAAACCACTACTGCACCACATCAAGTCTATATTTTAGCAGTGGGCCCAGTCATGGTCCTGTGTCGGTATGTTTTGTTGCCTTAAACCTTCCATCGTGTATCAATGCCAGTATACCACCAACAAACAAATCACAGCAATATGTTTTCACTTCTGAAATTTTCATCGTGCATCAATGCCAGTAGTCTACAAAACCAAATCAACACAGTCAGGTACAAGCTGTCCTCGCATACTGATCAGTTCCCAAAAAATTCCTCAATGTCTCCAATCAGCGTCCCTCGTCGCTGCCAAGCCTACATGCAGCTGGCCTCTGTGTTCAGCAGGGCTTCACAGGGCGCTCATCACCTTTCGTCTCTGTTGCAACAGCTCTCTGGTCTAATGAGGTACTGCTGGAGCAACATGGCATTCTGTACCTTTATGTGGCAAAACCATTTAAATTCAATGTTTTTTAGCCTTTATTTATTTAGGGAAGGTTCACTGAGAGGAAGCCACTGTTACACATTCATACTTGGAAGCTGCCCAGCACAAGCACAGCCACTTAGCATTTAAGATGCATTTAAAGTCGTGCATTACACCTTCACAGTGGCATCTGTTCGGTGTTAAATGAAGAGAAATGTACTTCTCAGTCAGGTTCACCTTTGGTTGTTACAGCAGCCCCAAAATATTTGACACCTTGTCAGAGGCTCTCTGCTGGATTCTTTTAAATAACTGCAACTGCTTTCGTGCTCCATCTCTGTTAGTTGACTATCAATTCAAAATCAGACCATGCATTTTTGCTCTCAAATAAACCTTTAAAATATTAGGTGTTCCACTCTCTGAGGAGAAACATCAGGCCCTGTGAGGCTATAGAGTTCTAGGCATCACTCTAGATAGCGTCCTGATGCAATTAAACGCATCAGAGAGGTAATGAAAGCACAGCAGGCAGTAGTAATTTCCAAAAGAGAACTGCTCTCCTTGCTCAGACATCTTAATTTTGCCATGTGTGTTATTCCCCAGGGAAGTTCCCTTATATCCAGGCTTCTGGACCTCTCCGATTTCTAGAGAAACTCCATGATATGGTGAGCTTGGATGAGGGCTGCAGATCCGAGCCCCAGTCCTGATCTCTTCTGTGTGATAAATGGGATGGCATCTCCTTCTTTTACAATGAGCAGCTAGAACCATCATTTGCCATTAATTCTAAAAGACGCAGTATATTAAGCAACATATTAATGAAATCGAACGCTGTGTGCCAGTTCACCCTGGGCACTTTACATTAACAGCAAGGTCTAATAGTGTGACTGTTAATGATCTACTAGATCACTAATGAACAGCTTTTCTGAGCTTGGAACAACAGGGAGCAGACATGAGGGGCAATTTAGGGAAGGGCAATAGATCCACAAGTTTTTCGGTGTTGTGTACAGAAATATGGAGACATAATTATTCAAGCATACAGTAGAAGTGGCATGATTGACCTGTATGATAACTGCCTTTCTGTTGGTTTTTGGGGGGTATTTTATTAATCAGTGGTTCGCAGACATATGGCTAAAATACTGTCATCCTTGCAGCTAATGCCTCTCTACCGCTTTAATGAATGTACCCGATTGTTGTTTCATGTCTTCTGTGGGGAAAAGACTGGTCAAGGAAACAAATCATGTTTTTGCGACAATGAGGCAACTGCCAACATCATTAACAAAGGGCGTTCTTCAGTTCCATTCATTAATAGATTTGTAAGGCGCCTCACTTGGTTATCTATGTTGGATAATTTCATCATTAGAGCAGCTCATATTCCAGGCTTGGATAACAAAATTGCTGATTTTTGTCCCGGTTTGAATTGCAGAATTTTGCCAGCTGTGCCCGGAGGCAGCCCCATCCAGCCTGACTTGCCCCCCATTCTCTCAAACCGTGTTAGACTAAACACAACCATGCAATCCTACATGCTAAGCTAAATCTACATTAAGATAATGCAGCCATCTTCCATTAAAGCCTTTGTCACAGGTATTCAGTTCCATCTGCGCTGTTTGGATCCATCCACCATCAGCCTGCTCGGGAACCCATCTGTCCGTCTTCTGCTAAATGGCCTAGAGAAAGAAAACCTCAAGGCAATGATATTCGTCTTTCTTTCACTCTTTCACTCTTTAAAAAAAATTAAAATAAATAAATAAAAACTAAACTAATCACGTACTTTAGGGACGGGCGTTTTGGTCAATACACAGATTTATTATTAGAAACTGTCTTTCTTACTGCTTTTATGGATTTCTCAGAGGTGGCGAATTCATTACATACAACTTCTTGGGGATATCTCTATCATACTCAGCTATGTTACCTCAAATTAGTGTCTGCGTAGATGTATTGGTTTATTGTGCTGCTAGCTCCTCTTACTGGCACTTCCATGTAGCTCATGGAAGGGAGGTTGCCTGGTATGGTTCTTTGGGGGTGTTGCTGGCGCTCTCTTTGTCTTAAGCTTTACCATGTAAGCACGTGGAAGGGCAGGGAGGTCCCAGAACAGTGCCCTCTTGGGAGCCAAAACGGTGCTAAAGTGCCCTCTTGGGAGCCAAAACGGTGCTAAAGTACCCTCTTGGGAGCCAAAACGGTGCTAAAGTGCCCTCTTGGGAGCCAAAACGGTGCTAAACTGCCCTCTTGGGAGCCAAAACTCGCTAAAGTGTCCTATTGGGAGGCAAAATACACTAAATTGCCCTCTTGGGTGGAGAAAACACTCAACTGCCCTCTTCTAAGTTCTATTATTAGGTAGACATGCCTATGGCATGTTTAAGGAGGAGCTACCTCACTACGTCTTGTGGGAATAGCTTTTCAAAGCTAGCCAGTAAAGTTAAAAGTTGGGTTAGCATTGCATATCAGGGTTTCCGCCAGGTTTAAGTTGACTCCCCGCCGGGCTAAGCATTTGGGATCATTTTTAAAAATGCTTTCTTGAAAATGCCTTTTAAACTTCAGCTTGCAAGTTAAGGACAGAAAGTCTTGTTAGTAGGCTAATGCTATTGAGTAGGCTAGTGGCTAATGCTAGCAGCTAGTTGAGAGGGAAAGAGACCAGTGTGATGATCAGCTAAGTAGAACAGAGCTGGGTGAGCATTATAAACTGTGAATGTAGCTTTAGTGTATATTATGATACACTTTGCAATAAAAAGAGATAATGCAGTCATCTATGCAAAGCAGATTTCCTGAAATTTTGATTTTAGATTTAAGAAGTACACTACTCACAAAAAGTTAGGGATATTCGACTTAAGGGTGAAATTTATGGAAAAGTTGATGCTACAGTGATATTATATCATGAAAGTAGGGCATTTAAGTAGAAGCATGCAATGGTAATTTCTTCATCTCATTATTTATTGAAACAAAAAGCTAACAACAGTGGTGGCTATACCACAACAAGAAATGTCACTGTCAGTAAAATGTCTTTTGTCCTTGAGCATCAATTACAGCTCGACAAGACGTCTCATGCTGTTCACAAGTGGACTTATTGCAACCTGCTGATGACACTCTGTGACACTCTAAGCTCAGTGGAAACCTCCCTCTGAGTACATCCCGATTGAAGCCTCGCACTGGCCAGGGACTGTTGATCCATTGTTAGGTGTCGTCTTGGTCTCGTGATGTTATAATGTGAACAGCATGATGAAGAGGACTGTTTAAATACAAACTGTCATTGAACCGGAAAAACAGCATGTTATGCAATAAGTACTGAGACATTGAACAGTTGGACATATGCATTCAAAAGTTTAGCGAAGGTCAAATTAAGATCACCTGGAAAGGTTATAGTGCATTTTATGTACATTCTGAAATTTCCTCCGGAAGCCGAATTTCCCTAACTTTTTGTGAGTAGTGTAGTTATCCCCTAGCATGGCAAACAGAGTCTCTTAAATACTTAGGCATCAACCTACCAAAAGATCTTACAAAACTATCAAAATACAACTATCTACTGTAGGACCTTGTCCTCGTCTTCCTCTACGAGAGACGCTTGATCCGTCTCTTAATGCAACAATCATCATATTATTTTGATTATGTTTCACCAGGAGAGTTTTCAAGGCTCTTTTCCCTTTGACCTTTTTGACCCAAGAAAGGAGGTGAGACTATGGCGCCGACAGTCTCCTGCACCGAGAGCCTGGTTCTTTTCAGATTCACAGATGGTATCTCTAGGTGTCAATTTGTTTTATCCTCTTCAACAGAACACTGACTCCTCCATAGATCAGAGCGACACTTCACACTTAGGTTCGGGAAACCGTTATTTTCTTACAAGAGATGTGTGATGATTTAAATGCCTTTTTAGTTGTGAATTCCTATGGAATGGACATGGAATGTGTTTGCATCTCCTTTGATCTAAATTGTATCACCTCCAGAGAGAAACTCCTCTGGAATCCACATCTGGCATTCTGACACCCCTTCCTCTAAAGTGTAAATTACGATGTTTTCTGTTGATAGTGGACATTCCAATCTGGGAAGCAGTAGCAACAGTTGCACGGATATAGATTTAGTTCTGATGGAGTATTATGGTAAAATTTCATCTTCTCAAAATTAACAGATTGCCATCCAGCATGAGAAGGTCGCAAATGTAATGTTTGTCTGATGTTTCTGTCTTCAGATTGGACTAAGTTACAAAATCATGTGTAAAATGCTTGAATGTGTGATGGAGCCACAGTGCCACCTTTTGGTAATGGTATAGTGTAAGGTATCTTCAAAACGGATTTTGTTTTATAATTGTGTATTGTTCCAAATGGTAAATGCCTGACACACAATTTTATAACAAGAATTAAGCTAACACTATATGAAATATGTACAATCCATTAGTGTTGCTTCATATGCATGTTTGTGACATTTTAACTAGTTCTGCTTTTATTTTTACATCAAGTAATTTTGGTTATGTTATGTTAAAACATGTAAACTATGTATTAAGTCATGGTGGGTTCTGTGGATGGTGAATTAGGATTTCGAAACTTTAAAACACGATAGAAGTAAGTTAATAAAGTTACGAATATCGAAATATCTCTAGAGGAAGTGACGCGATTAGCCTTTCCGGATACGCCTCCATACTAAAACATATATAATATAGACTCCGGTCTCATCTCCTGTTTGCCTTTTTCTCTCTTACTTTTACACTTCCAAAACTCTCTTCTTAAATCTACGTTGGATCCATTCGTTATTTACTTTTGTTCTACTTTAATTTCCGTACGTTATTTTACTTCGTTTGAGACACGTGTTGAATTTTTCCTCACGTAATAATTTGCGGTGCTGAAGTACTTTTTAGTACTTTTATTTTGAAGGCTCAAGACACGAACACAGTTAAGTCTTTTATAAGTTTGTTTTAGTTTATATATCTTGTCAAGTATTGTCTCCTGATTCACAGAAAGTGAATTTAGTTTAATTCTTGGATTTACTGACTACAGAGGATTCGCAAGGCCAGCGTTTCGTCCTACAGTTATTTTAGACCAGAAGTTGGATTAGTTCATAATCAAAGCCGAAGACCAACCACTCTGAGGAACTTTTCTTAAGACATTTATCACAAGCCAGAAGGACATCACCGTGGTTGACCGCTCAAGGAGACGTATAAACGTTTCAGCCGGACAAAGACATTATCCTCCAGACTACCTGCCTCCAACGCACTCAAAGCGCCGCGCTGGGCCTTGGACTGGAGCGCTTATTGCCACTGGTATCGGTGACGACACGTTGTTGGACCTGTGATTCTGAACAGCAGCCGAGCAGTACCAGCCGGAGGAGAAAGATCCTGAAGTCCCTCCATCTCTACAACAAAGTAGGCTGAAACCCACATACACTGCCGGGGTCCCACACACTTCCCAAGAGTTGGTGTCTGTCTGTGAGCTTTGATTCCCATAGTTTGAGCTTAGAAGAATTTTCGATGAGGGCCTCGTAGTCTTAAAATTTACTCCCGTAATATTTGAAGGTTACTGCCGTATCGCAAAATCCACCATCGCTCCTGAATCACCCAATATTAATAATGAATTTACTGTCCACATATTCTGTTATTTGTTGTTATTTGTTTACATTATCATTTCATGCTATTTACTCTTCATTAATTTAGTTAATAAACATATATAACCGTATGTCCTTGTCTGTGCAGGTTTGATTTGATGCGGGGAAATCGATGAATCGTGTAAAATAAATCACTACTTCAGAAATAAAGAGATTAAATATAGATTTTGAAATTTGATAAATGTATTTGAAATTGATTTGATTAGATCTGTGGAATAATTTCCTCCGGATTATTCCAGTAGCTAAACAACGGAGGTGGTGCCCCATTTACGAGCGTATTATTAATCCCCAGTGATTAATTACCTTTCTAATGAAAAAGTAGTGTAACCCCTACACTACCTATACATAAAAAAATAAAGGATGATATAGCGAGATGGAACTTCATCCCTCTCTTCAGCCTTAGTTCAAGAATTGACTCTATTAGAATGAATATACTGCAGAGATTTTTATATTTATTTCAAAGCCTGCCAATAGAGATTAACCAAAACCAATTTAACGAGTGGGATAAATTGTTATCTAGGTATATATGGCAAGGTAAAAGACCAAGGGTCCGTCTCAAAACTTTACAGCTAGCTAAACAAAAGGGAGGATGGGGCCTGCCCTGTTTTAGATATTATGATCTGGCAGCGCAGATGAGAGCGGTGACATGCTGGTGCAACCCGTCATATACTGCCCAATGGAAAAACATTGAGGAAAAAACGCCCTCCATCCCCGTACAGGCAATCCTAGCCGATAATAACATACAAACCCACATAAATAACATTGATAACCCATGGGTGAAATGGACCCTTAAAACATGGAAAGCTATCATAAAGGAAAATGAACCTGAGAACGATATTATAGCTCCTAAATGGTGTGCTTATGACTCAGAGTATACACCTAATAAATTGGACTCTAGATTTAAGGACTGGATAGCTAAGGGTACAACAGCCTTATGCAGTGTAATGAAAGATGGAAAATTGCTCAGTTTTGAAACGCTTAAAAGGACATATCTATTAGAAAAACAAGACTTCTATCGATATCTGCAGTTGCGGCACTATGTTGATACGAAGATAAAAAATGTAATAAAGACAAATACATGTTTGACCGAAATTGTTTACAAAAGCCTATAACTCAGAAACTGTTGATAGAATTATTTCATGCTTGTATAAGGGAATATTAAACATGAAACCACACTCAACTTTATATATCAAAATAAAATGGGAGATGGAAGGAGGGATAACTATATCCGAGGAAGAATGGACAACAATATGGAGGTATCAATGGATGTGTACCAGCTCACAGAAATGGAGGGAATTTGGTTGGAAAAACTTGATTAGGTTTTTTTATTACGCCCTGTCAGAAGTCCCACTATGACAATAACCCCCCTATCTGTTGGAGGAACTGTGGAAATCAAAGTGCAAACCATTACCATGTTTTCTGGGACTGCCCTGTCATGAAGGACTATTGGAGAGAGATACACAAGGCTCTACAAGATATCTTCAAAGTGAAATACATTTTGAGAGTAAAACTATGTTCTTTGAACACATACCTGGGGAATGGCCGAAAAGAGATAAACATTTATTTATATCTTGTTGGTGGCCTGTAAAAAGAGTATTACCAGGAAATGGTTATCACAGGAGAGCCCAACTTTAAATATATGGACATTACAATGAACGTTTACAAAATGGAGAAGATAACCGCATTTGTTAATCATAAAATGGAGAAATTTACTTCATACTGCGAAAACTGGGTCATATATGTCACCTCTCAACAAAAGAGGAGGAACAACCTGGATGTGTTTCATGTTTGTGTATTTCATTCCAATGTGTGTGTGAAATGTAAAAATAAGAATAATTTCGATAAACAGATTAATTAATTTCTTCTTCTAGTTCTATTAGATTTTCTGGATCATTGTAGAAACATATTTTTATTCTAGGTTACAGATCTTCTCAGTCTTTTCTCTCTCTCTTTTTTATGTTCTATTATCTGTCCAGACTCTGTCAGGCTGGTGGATGGGACTAGTCTGTGCTCAGGCAGACTGGAGGTGAAGTCTGACCAGTCTAACCAGTGGTGGTCCTCAGTGTGTGAAGATGACTTTGACCAGCAGGATGCAGAGGTGGTCTGTAGGGAGCTCGGCTGTGGGGCTCCTTCAGTCCTCCAGGGGGCGCTCTATGGAGAAGTGGAGGCTCCAATGTGGACCAAAGAGTTCCAGTGTGGAGGCCATGAGTCTGCTCTCCTGGACTGTAGAAGCTCAGGCTCAGCTAGAAACACCTGCTCACCTGGAAAAGCTGTTGGACTCACCTGCTCAGGTAGAAGAGGAGCTGCAGCTCTGATTGGTTCATTTCTGTTCTGATGAAACTCACTTTATTCTTTTACTGATGACTCTCTTGTTTCTGTTCAGAGTCTGTCAGGTTGGTGGGAGGAGACAGTCGCTGTGCAGGAACACTGGAGCTGAGACATAATGGAGACTGGAGACCAGTGGAGGGTCGAGGCTGGACCCTGAAGAAAGCAACTGTTGCCTGTAGAAATCTGGACTGTGGTTCTGCTGTTTCTGTAGGAGAGAGAGAGGATTCTTCATACAGACCTTTGTGGGGGATCTACTCTGATTGTGTTCAGTCTGGATCTTCTCTCAGGGAGTGTGCAAGATCAGCTTCCTCTATCGCTTCCTCCATCCTGAATCTCACCTGTTCAGGTAAGCCCATCAGTGACATCATCAATGACATAATTTATGACAGTAATGTACCCACGTTGACACACACACACACACACACACACACACACACACACACACACACAACACACACACACACACACCCCCATTAACACGCCTGTAGTGATCCCAGTTCACCTCCTGGGCTCTGCCGAGGTGTCTTGAGCAAGGCACTGAAGCCCTAACTGCTTGGAGCAGCGACTGTGTGGCAGCCTCATCACTCTGACATCTGTCCACTAATGCATGTGTCCAGGTCCTGTGTGTGCATCAGTGGCTGCTGACTCAAACATTGTGGAGGACAGGAGGAAAACCAACCCACAGCATCGTGTTATTTTACACTAGTTGGCAGATTATCTCTACTTTCTTCTGTTCAATAACAATGAAACAGTAAATCAATGGCTTCCAAGAGTTCTTAAAAACAACATCATTGTATTCATTGCTGTTGTTTCCAGATGAACCCTACAGGCCTAATGCAGAAGATAGAGTATTTATCAAGGCTGTGAGATGTAACAAGAAGCAGCCAGTGTTCAACACCTGTGAAGGAAAGTGTGCTGACTGATGATGACTACTTGCTGCTTGAATCAAAGCTGGCCCCATTTCCAATCAGCCAGACGAAGCTTACTGTACTTTCACTTCCAATATTTTATTCCCAACGATGCGTTATCACAAGTCCAGGTTCACCAGGGCTTTTTAAAGTGGTGTGTGCTTTGTATTCAGAGACAGCTGGCAGTTATCCTCAACAAAGTAGTTCAAACACAGCAGCTCTATTTCTCTGCTACAAAGGAAATATGACAGTAATGATCCCAGCACCATTGGTAAATACCCACACTGAAACAGCAGCTGCACTTTCCTTAAAAACACTAGGGGTGTCCTGCAGGTGTCGCTGTTGAAGCATTTTAATCACAATTTGAATGATGGATTTTCTCCAAAGCAGAGAGAAACCTTAATTCATGAATGATAATTGTTTGTTTGGTAATTATTTATTTCAACCAGTTACTCTTTTTATAGTTTTATTTCCCTCTTTCCTCTCAACAATAGAGGAGGACCAACCTCCCCTGCCTCTACGGACCAGCATCCTCTGGTGTATGCCTGTGTGTTTTTAAGGCCAATGTGTGTAATGTTAAATAAACATTATATTATGTCAGAATCAGAATCAGAATCGGATTTATTGCCAGGTAGGTTTTTACACATATGAGGAATACGTCTTGGTGCAGTGGTGCATAAAATATACAATCACACACAAAAAATGTACTTTTAAAATAATGGAGGAAATGGGAGTGCATTAATGTAATGTGGAAAGAAACTGTTTTTGTGGTGTGAGGTTTTGGTCCTGATGGACCACAGCCTCCTGCCAGAGGGAAGTGTTTCAAAGAGTTTGGGTCCGGGGTGGGAGGGGCCATGTGTTTCAGTCAGGATTTAGAGTTCATCATAGCACAGAGACAGCTCTGGTTAAAGTTAATAATGACCTTCTGATTGCTTCTGACAATGGACTTGTCTCTGTACTTGTATTATTAGATCTTAGTGCTGCATTTGACACCATTGACCATGATATTCTTTTACAGAGACTTGAGCATCAAATTGGCATTAAAGGAACCGCACTTAGCTGGTTTAAGTCATATTTATCAGATCGTTCGCAGTTTGTACATGTTAACGATGAATCTTCAATAAATACTACAGTTAGTCATGGAGTTCCACAAGGTTCTGTACTTGGACCAATATTATTTACTTTATATATGCTCCTTTTAGGCAACATTATTAGGAATCACTGCATTAACTTTCACTGTTATGCAGATGATACGCAGTTATACCTATCGATTAAGCCCGATGAAATTAACCAATTATCTAAACTACAAACATGTCTTAAGGACATAAAATCCTGGATGAGCTGCAATATTCTGATGTTAAACTCAGAAAAAAACGAAATTCTTGTTCTTGGCCCCAAAAACCTTAGAGACACACTGTCTAAAGATATAGTTACTCTAGATGGCATTACCTTGGCCTCTAGCACCACTGTCAGAAATCTTGGAGTTATCTTTGATCAGGATTTGTCATTTAATTCCCACATAAAGCAGACCTCCAGGACTGCCTACTTTCATTTACGTAATATTACAAAAATTAGACACATCCTATCACAGACAGATGCAGAAAAACTAATCCATGCATTTGTTACTTCAAGGCTGGATTACTGCAACTCTTTATTATCAGTTTGCCCCAATAAGTCCATTAAAACGCTCCAATTAATTCAGAACGCTGCAGCACGAGTACTTACAGGAACTAGAAAAAGAGATCACATCTCTCCTGTACTAGCTTCTCTGCATTGGCTCCCTGTAAAATGTAGAATAGAATTTAAAATCCTCCTCCTCACCTATAAAGCTCTTCATGGTCAGGCCCCTTCATATCTTAAAGAGCTTATAGTACCCTATTACCCCTCTACAACACTACGTTCTCTGAATGCTGGACTACTTGTGGTCCTATAGTATCTAAAAGTAGAACAGGAGCCAGAGCCTTCAGTTACCAAGCTCCTCTGCTGTGGAACCAGCTTCCAGTTGTGGTTCGGGAGGCAGACACCCTCACCACATTCAAGAGTAGGCTTAAGACGTTCCTCTTTGATAAAGCTTATAGTTAGGGCTGAATCAGGTGAGTCCTGAACCATCCCTTAGTTATGCTGCTATAGGCCTAGACTATCGGGGGATTTCCCATGGTGCACTGAGCTACTCTCTTCCTCTCTCTTTCTGCACTCATTCATGTCCCATTAATGCATGTTACTAACTTCCCCGGAGTTCTTGTGCTTTCTCGTCTCGCAGGTTCTTATCGATCCTGGTGGAGCCTCCTGCCATGGTCCTGCTAGATTGCCATTGCCAATACTGTTGTTGCTCTGCACCTGTCTGTCTGCCTGTCTGTCTGTCTGTCTGTCTCGCTCTCTCTCTCTCTGTCTCTCTCTCTCTCTCTCTCTCTCTCTCTCTCTCTCTCTCTCTCTCTCTCTCTCTCTCTCTCTCTCTCTCTCACCCCAACTGGTCGAGACAGATGACCACCCACCTAGAGCCGAAGGATCTGTCCTAGGTTTCTGCCTTTTAACAGGCAGTTTTTCCTTGCCCTTGTCGCCAAGTGCTTGCTCATGGTGGTACTGTTGGGTCTCTGTAATTAATGTTATAAAGAGTTCGGTCTAGACCTGCTCTATTTGAAAAGTGTCCTGAGATAACTTCTGTTATGAATTGGCGCTATACAAATAAAATTGAAAAATTGAATGTTGTTAGTC